ACTTCTAACAGAGGTGTTATCTAATTTATGAAGACATTCACAAGCCAGACTCGATACGCATGGAATGTTATTGTTGTTGTTATTTTTTTTTATTGTATTTGTGTTGTTGTTGCTGTTGTGTTGTTAATGATTTTGTTGGTTATGTTTTGTTAGCTGTTGTAGCGGGTGTGGTTCGTTGTTTACTGCCTGGATCGCTAATGTTGATCTGTTTTTTCTTTTGTCGTGTCGCTCAATTATCATCCTAATTTTTCGTTGTCGCATTGTTTGCTTGGTACTGTTGAATTGGTTTTTTTAGAAGTGGTTTTTTCTTTGGTATGGTTGTCGGCCGGCAGTGGTAGAATTGTTTCTTGTCTCTACAATAAAAGATGTCACATTTTGAAATTTCATTTTCCATTTATAGATCGCCAGTGCAAACCATCAAGATATGGAGATACCTAAGAAAAAAAGTTAGAGACACGAGAAACTTAACGAGATGGATGGATTTAAAAACTTCGTTAAAGGGTTTAAAGTAGAATCAGGAAGACCATAGCCTGGTGGTTCACAATTGTCAACCCAGGATAAAACTTATAAGGTAACAAGTAAGATATGAATAATCAAGGAAAGACATATGTTTCTTTTAATATCACGTTAATAAATCTAAAAAAATTCAACATCTTCAGCAACATTATTAACTTGTAAATAAGGAGGCATTTTAGAATCAAAAATAAAACAAATATATATATTATTATATATATATACTAAACAACGTATTGACAAATATGTTTTGCTGCTATGCTCTGATAACGATGCTAAATGGCGTTAATAACGCAGATATGTCTAACTAATTGTGTGATTGATTTCCATGTGCTACTGTCAAAACGCGACAAAATGTTGATTTGGTATCTAACTGATGTTGGTTGGTGAGTTCACGAGGAGTCAACAAAGCATCAAGTGAGTCTTTATAGAAAATTTTAAAAGGCTGTACTTATTATTTAAAAGCGTTTTTACAGAATATATCACTAACATCAATAACAACCGCCAACAACTACCACTACATTACTAACCACAACTACCACTAACCCTGTATTTACAACAGCAGCAGCAACAACAACAATCTACTACCACAACCGAAACAACACTAACAATTACAACCACATCAGCATTCCGAGTACAACAGAAAACTTTTATTAACTAGCTCTCAAGCTCCGTCAAAACAAATCATAAAATGCGGATACCGATATAATCGTCAAATAATTGCGAGTAATAACATCCCCATCGTCGCCTTCCTTATGTTCAGCCTGGCCATAAAATCGTAACGCATCTTCTTCTTACAGTTTCTCAGTTAAATTTTAATTGCACCATCTTAACGATGCAACATTGTATGTTTGTGCGTACAACTACGTACGTATACAAAATGCATACACCCAACTACATACACAAAAATATATGTAGGTATGCGTATTCTCATTTTATGCATGCGTACATAATTCTGGTGTGCATGCATGCATGCGTGTGTTTTTACTACCTGCTTCTGTTTGATTTTTACATACATATGTGTGCTGTTGTGGTAGGAGATTTAAATGTGGATGCTTTGTGTGTGTGTGTGTGTGTGTGTGTGTGTGTGTGTGGGG